TATATATATATATATATATATATATATATATAAAGTACGAGTTATGAATTGTGTCAAAAGGTACGGAAACGTGGGAGAAATTATCAGTGCCAGGTCCTAAACCTCAGCCAAGAGCGGAAAGCGTTGCCCTAGCGGTTTCCGAACTGTTAATTCGAGGGACCAATATCGATAATTCGAAGCCAAAGCCAAGAAACCAGAGGACGAGGCTATGTAACAATAGGATATCACCGAATGAAGCACCAACTAGACCGAGCTTTCTTAAGGAAATTTCCAAGCTGTCCCAAATTAATCTATCACGGCTGAGTCATCCGACAAAGTGCAGCTATTCTGTTTTGAGCGGTCAGGATGATAACGAAGAAAGTCCGCAAGAGGTATGTTTTCTTCTATATTTATACTTGCTTTGATCGTTCGAAATCGTATCTGGACCTACACCTGTCTCATATTTTCAGTTAAAAAATATTTTCTTTTTTAAAAGCATGTTTTATTTAGATCATACAAAAATTTCAAGCATTTAATTTTATTTTGTGCTTTATAAAAGCATTTATTGTGTCGATAAAGTGATTTCTCTTTTGTTTTTTTTTTTTTTATAATAAAACTAAACTGAATAAAGAATTCCGAAATTAAGTTATACGATTTATACGTTTGCACACGCAACACATTTCTATCTACAAGTTTTTCCCAAAACGCGACCAGCTCAGCAGTATATACTCAAAAATTCAAATTCTGCTGCCACAGAATCAATTGTCCAGATGCTTGCGAACGGTAGTTAATTTTTTATTCATGCCTTCATTCATGTTTCATTGTATGCACACGAAAGTTCTATACCTGCACATAAAACGCACATGTGACAAATGAGCCTGCCTGCAGGCGAATACGTATTATCCGTTTCAGCAAGTGGATTCGGAAGTTGTCGAACCATCGACCGGCATGGTGAAATCTCGGAGCGCAAACACGCTAGCCCGCAGAAGGCAGAAACCGCCGGAAACCACATATAAAAACGTGGACGTGAACAATTGCAACAACGCAACCGGTGGTTCCGGCATGACGAGAGATCCTATCTCGGTACCGAATTTCCGCGCCCTGACCTTACCCACCCCAGTCCTGACACCTGTAGAAGTAGCTAGGCTCGTTTTCGTCGATCCGGACGAAAATAGCGACAACGAGGAACGAAAGGAGCCTCCTACCTCTAGACTGATAGAAGTTCAAGAGGAAAGGCGGTAAGTATACTTTACGTCCCATCCAAACGAACAGTTTTTTTGACAAATTCGCTACACACGATGAGAGAATTTTATTCTTTTTTTTCGGTTTTTTTTTTTTTTTTTTTTTTTTTAGAATCATTTCTCTCC